AGATGACACAACCTTCCTTGCTGAAACTGAGGAGGACCTGAAGCACTTGCTGCAGGTCAAGGACTACAGCCTTCAATATGGATTGAAATTCAACATCAAGAAAACAAAGGTTCTCACTACTGAACTAATTGGCAGCATCATGATAGATGGTGAAGAGATTGAGATTGTTAACAGCTTTAGTTGGCTTGGCTCCACAAACAAAACTCTTGGTAACAGCAGCCAGGAAATTAAAAGAAGAAATGCATTGGGAAAGTCTGCTGTCAGAGGCCTTGCCAAAGTACTGAAGAGCAACGATGTTAGTCTGGAGACTAATTCAGGTGCAGCTGATTCAGGCCACAGTCTTTGCAATTACTTTCTATTCATCAGAAAGCTGGACAATGACTACAAATGATAGAAGGAGAATTGATGCCTTTGAGCTGTGGCACTGGAGAAGAGCTTTGAATATACCATGGACTTTTAGGAGAACAAACAGGTTCATCCTAGAGAAGGTGAGACCAGGCTGCTCCTTGGAGGCAAGGATTCTTAAGCTTCATCTGACATACTCTGGATATGTTGCAGGGAGAAACCAATCGTTGGAGAGTGACATCATGTTTGGAGGGTGGAGGGACAGTGCAAGAGAGGAAGACCCTTGATGAGATGGATTGATCCAGTGACTAGGGAAGTGGCAGTAAGTGTGTCAGGGACAGTAAGATTGGCACAGGATAGAGTATGGTTTAGGGTTGTTGAACATACGGTTGCTATGAGTCGCACGCAACTCAATAGCACATAGCAACAATATTATGTAAATCTGTACTCCTTTTGAAACAACTGAACGAGTCCCAAATTAAAAAAAATCATCAAAATTCCCTTCACTTGCTGCATGTGCAGCTTTTAAGTCACTGAAAGGCTTTGATCCTTTTCTTGTACTAAAAGAAAATAAGAAATGTGTGCATCTGTTCTTACTTACAACTTCTACTTAAAGACAGTATGAAATAGATCTCATTCTTAACCCAGGGAATGCCTGTACTACAGAATCCTGAAATGCTTTTTGTACTATATTACATGAATGCTATCTTTGACAGCCAAGTAAATTTTCTCCTATAAAAGTTTAAAAATTATAATTACTTATTGTCTATGCAACAACTCTCAGTCTAGCATCTCATTTATAAATACATTTATAAATAACTAGGACTTTTATTTAGGAAATAATTCTTCAATAATTCATAAATTAATAATAAAAATAAGTTGTGAAATCTTTTATTTTTTTTAAACAAAGCACTTCATAACTAGAGGTGTTGTTTATTAAAGCAATGAAGCTGTCACAATATTAACATGTCAAAAAGGAAAAAAATCATTCAGCTGACCTGCAAGTTTCTCTTGTTTCAGCAATTTCTCTCTGCTCATCTTTGCTGTTTAACACAGCACCAATGCTGTCGGCACTTTCAGCTCCCAACTGAGAAGAGGCAAAATCCAAAATTAGATCACAGCTCACCAGATACACTTTCCGATTGTTTGCAATTGCATTTACCATGTTAAATGCCATCAAGTCAATTTTTAACTCCTACTGACCCTACATTAACAGTAGAAATGCCACATGTGTTTTTTTCTAGGCTGCAGCCTTTACAGGAATAGAATATCAGGTCTTTCTCTTATGGAGACAATGGGCCAATCGATACATTTGAGTAAACAGAAGTGGAAATTTTGCACCAAACGTAAACAAATGGCCAGCTGGCATAAAGCTAACAAAGTACAGTGGGCCTAATTCATGGAAAGCTTTAAAAGCTGGACAAGATGTAGAAGAGTGCATCTTGGAGACCATTAATAATTTTAAGAACACAAAGAGCTTAGGAAAATCTTCATTAAATTGTTCCTTTAGCTTAGCAAAGAGGGGAAGTTACAATAATATATAAGAAAATATTACGCTACAAACCTTGATCTTAAAACAATTATTTACTGTCTTATTCATTTATCCACTTCCTAACACTAACACTCCTTTCATGTTTTAACAGTAGTAAATTGTTTCCAATATATCAACTACTAATGACATTTCAGCAACTCTGCAGCATTTTCTTTCTTTCTATTCTTTTTAGTCAAGAGACAATTAGGTCTGTTTCCTATCATTGGGATGCTTGCTAACCTTCTATGATTTCCTTCCTTCTTTCACGTCTTTTCACATCTCAAGTAAGTATACAGTGGGTTTCTTTCCCTCAAATAATTTTCCCATAAACAGTATCTATAGGTAGTCCCTCCCATTGCTTTGTTTCTTTGTATCAACTCATACAACTTCTTTTGCTTAATTTTGACATACAGCTTTTATCACAACTTTGAGATGGCAAAGGAGGTTGAGTTTTCAAGCATGGAAATACAAAGGAAGAGGAACAGTTGTAAGCAGACACTGGTGATTGGGACATGGAATGTGAG